TCCGTACTGTCCAGCCAATAGCTCTTCTGCAATATCCATACATTCAAGGGTGTAATGCTTTTCAAATGATGACACTCGTGGAATATGAATATTTCACACACAGAAGTACAGTTCACATCATAGTACTATCGAAACAATGGTCTCCCTAACATTTCTTAAAGATTGTACAATCCCTTACTTCATATAATTGGACCATTAAACTTAAATCCATACCCTTCACATAATGGCACTTCGAAGACAGCCCTGCTCCTCTAGGGACACCATTCCGTATATAACCGTAATACTCCTCAAATGACGGGACACTGAACAGGTCCACGTGGTTCATACCATAGTATCCCTCATATAAAACTATTACGGGAACAGTCATACCATCCATAGTGTAAATCTTTGCATAGAATAAATCATGATGCCATATATCTTATCTGCTTCAACATAAATTACTTGACAGTACTATCGTAAGTTTCTGATGCTCCGAATAAGAATGTAGCGGGGATATTAGCACTTTGCAGTTATGAGTACGGCCTATATCTATGTATTCTTCACACAATAATACTTCGAGTCATCAATACTGCTATACAACTGTGCAATTCAAATGAAGGTATTATCCCGACAACAGTATCGTTAACAGAACGCTATCACTTGTACACGCGTACTCTCTAAAGGATAGTACCACAGATATAGTCCTACTAATAAACGCACATAACTTCAGATCGGATGGTATCCGTAGAACAATAGCACTCCTGGAAGATCAATACCTGAGACAAGAATGTACTCTTAAGATCATCATACTCCCCGAGTAGCAATACTCTTTAAGTAATAGTATTACAGAGGGGCCCTAGGAGCTCCGCAATCCCGAACGTCTTCTAATGAAGTCATTAGACTTACATCAGGACCCTTGACATAATGATAACCCAAGGATAGGCTTATTCATCGAGGTACACCGCCCCTCACATAACAGTAGTCTTGTTCAATTAACAGTGTACTTCACACATTAACACATTGGGCGCAGAAGTATCCTTCACATAAAAATAATACAGGAGTTGGTGCAATCTTCATACGATAGCTCTCCGCAGATGGTAAAAGGTTACGGCACATATATCCTATGACCAGAATACATCATTTAGTACAACTATCTGGGCTTCGTCACCATCCAGATAGCGGTTTTCCAAGCACGTCAGCTATCCCCAAATATGAGTACTATACATACGTCTGTACCTTCTTCATATTGGCAAGGCAAATCAAAAGTACTCACTAAGAAACTGTGGTGTCTAAATAGAAGTATTATCCACAGGACAATACTCTTAACATGACACTACTGCTGGCACACAGGTAATCTTTCATAAGATCTTATTTTGAATATAAGGATATTCATTATGGAACAACACATGAAGGTGCAGCTTAGTATGATAACACTAGAGGTCATGCAAATAGTTATGCTATTAGGACTTCCATATGACAATACCATGAAAATTTCCGGATTGGGAACCTTTGAAAATCCCGACACTTTAGTACGATTTAAATGAGAGTTCTAGAGTATCTATGCACTTCACGTAAAAGTACTACACGTGCATCCCCGGGCTGTATCAGTGTCAGCAGGGGACACCAGTATTCTGCAAGGAAAAGTACCCCAAGCGGCCTTGTTCCCCTGGTGTAAGGAAACGATAAGCATGTCAGTACTTTGCACATATGAGTACTACGGACACGTCAGTAGGCTTGCTACAATAGCACTCCAGGAAATCCTTACCCTTGACGCAACACAGCTCTTCAATTAACACTGTTATCCGCGTAACACTGCTATTAACTTAATAGTACTCCATGAGCATCATCACTTCTAAAGCAATAATACATAAGGGATAAAGATGCTCTCTCACACAGCGGTTTATTATTTCCTATCTGGTAATCCTACCACATTCCTATAGTCATGATATTTAAACTTCACATAGGTGGCCATCGTCATAAATAGGACAAGAAGGAAATATCTCCATAATGCCTCCACATGGAAAGAAAGAAGAAGGCGGCAATCATAATGTTAGGGAAGAAAGTATTTTGAGAGAAGGAAATGAGATACAATACAACATATTGACAATGATGCTACCAAAGGAGCATCTTCACAATGATGCGGCCTGAGAAAACATCAGCACCATGCTGGGGAAAAGGGGCATCTTCATAAAGAGAATCACACACAAGAAAACATCTTCAGGAGGCCACGGGAGCAGAGGGTATCTATATAAAACAGATGACACAAAACAATATATTGAAGCTACCGCTAGGACATAGCATCATAAGAATGCCGCACAAGGAAAATATCTTCATAAGGAAAAGGGCCTGGCAGAAGAATATGTTGGCCGTGACATGATAAAGGGAAGAAGCATATTTACAAAGCAGCAAAACAGAAGAATATCATCGATATAACGCGGTCTCAGGAGTTTTCGTAAAACAAATGCCACAGCAGCCAAAATTCTCAAAATGACGTGACCCTCGCGCTTCACCTCTTCGCTTAATAACAAAGGTGCTCTTCACATGCCCATGTTCAATGGAAACACCATTTGGGTAGCTGTGCAGAGTTGTGATGGCTCTTCCCCAAAAGGACAATCTAAACAGATAAGGAGGCCCTCCTCAAATAGTTTGTCCTCACGCTTCTCATTTCCCCCACTTCCTACTTCCTCATAGGTATAACTATATGGCTGGACCTGCTGGTGAAGTCTTCTTTATTTGTTCCTTATCGTGGGGTGCAGATTGGCTCCTCCGTGTGTGACTTCATGTGGAAGCAGGAAAGTTGGTCCTTTGTTGTTAATTCACTTGTGATTCTTCTGGTGTCAGTCTATCTGATGTGTCGGGCCTGGGGTTGTTTTCGGAGATCCTCGAATTGAAACTTCCCAAGGGATCCACTCAGCTTCCACTGATGCTCATTTTGTTAAAAGGGGAGATTCCATCCTTAACTTTACATCTGAATGAGGACACACAGGGAGTCAAGTAAGAAGGACATCAGCACAGAAGTAGCAATCAAAAATGTTAAGAAAACGACCTTGAGACAGTTTGCACGCCCATACAGGTCTGACAGAACCCCCAGAACTGAACTTCCAACCCCTTGTAGGATAAAGTGAAACAAGAAAAAATTGATCAACAACGTTTAGCGGGTACACAAATATTATGTCTATGTATCAGGGGTACAGAAATAAGCTGAGATAAGGGAGGAGGACTTCTATTTTGGTGACTCATTCTTCTCCCTCATCTTTTAGTTTGGCATGATGCACATTCTCTTCTTCTTCCGTGTCTTTCGATCATCTGCTCATTTTAGGGTGTGTGTTTGTTATGCAACCGCGATGTGCAGTTACACCTGTGGTGGGGAGCGGCTTGCAGAGAATACCAACATCTCATGGGGTGCAGTCTGGTAAGATAACACGCCTGTTTGTGAACCTGATAGGGAACAACCCATGGGGAGATTCCCCTGTTGCAGTGGAAACTTGCACGGTGTCCACGGGCACGAAAGGGGAAGAAAAATTGGTGGCATGGAGGCTGATACAGGTGCGGATCTGTTCGGAGAAGGATTGGACACGCTAAGGCGGAATGAGAGCAGAATGGTAGATTAGCAAGGGGGTTAAGCCTGGAGCATTCTCAATCCGCCCATTTCACTTCTTCATAGGTAAGGAATTCTTTTCCTAGGGAGGAACATCGGGGCCTTTCGCCTACAGCGGCAAGGGCATTTCGCGCATTTAGCCATTTCACCATGGATGCACTTATGCCTGGGGGCAGATTTATTCCTCTTTATATCCGTGTGCCACAGGAGGACCAAGTGTGAAACGTGGGAGATGGGAAAAAAAAAAAAGAAAAAAAGAAGAAAGAAGAAAGAAGAAAGAAGAAAGAAAAAAGGAAAAAAAAAAATTCGACACGGGCTACATGGGGCACTTTCCCGCACAAAGTGGCGAACGCGCATTAGCCCAAACTTATGGAAGTAAAACTAATTTGGCATTTCCCTTTTTTCGCCGCAATCCCCTGCGATTGTAGAGGCTACTCATTTGTGCTGGCACCGCGCAGCCGCATGCCGGAGTGGGGACTCCTGACGGAGCGCCTATTTGTATATAGGGAAGTAAACTCGTACCCTTGTGCAGTTACGCAGTCGTGCACTTCCGCACTTGGGTATTACTCTGGAAGGTTTCTTGGACACTTGGACAAACTTTATGGGAGGAAGAGGGAGATGAAATGAAAAAAGCAAGAGAAACCGCAGGAAGGCCTAAATAGAGACCCAATTTGTACATTTGTTTGTTCTGGCAAATTTTTTCGCTAAAGGAGATCCCCGGCCAACCCAACAAAGAGACGGGCAAAAGGGCCTAATCGATGAAGAGGAGTTTTTCCTGCTCGAGCGAGAAGTAAAAGGTAATGACAAAAGAAGAACATAAACGGTAATAATTGTAAAAAGGAGTAGGCGAATAAGTGGCCATATAAAAGAGGCAATTATATAAGCAGATAAATGCCAGTCGAGAAGGGCGGACGCTTGCTGTGTGTATGCTCATTTTTAAAGGCCAGAAGGGAAGAGGCCAGGCCGAGTTAGTCCGCACGCAAATTAGGGCCATTTGGTGGATCAATGAGGAACGAAGCAGCGCTGCCGGGTGACAGCCACACAAAATGGAAACAAACAAAAGCAACACCGGGACGAAAACAGACAAGGAAACGAATTCTCTATTCTTAAGGAAGGAAATCTTCGACCATGCAATTATATACACCACAAACAAAATAGAGGAAAGCGCTTTACTAATTTATTTGAAAAATTTCTATGAGCATTTTAAGAAGTCGAAAGAGAGCACGGAGCAGGCTGGCAGTGTCAACCACGATGATCAAATGTACGTCACTTTGGATAGCTGGCTAAGTTACAATGAAGTTCTAAAAGGGCAGGACAACATCTGTTCTGCCAATTTCAGCCATAATGTATGCAAATCTCTGTGGATCCTCTTAAGTATAACTTTGCAGAGTGTAAAGAAGAAGAACAATGTCAACGGACAGAGGACGATATTTAACGCGTCTCTGCAGGAACTACACAGGCAGGGGGGTGACCGAACCGAAGAGGACGGGCATCAGCAGAGTCAGCATCGAGACTGGCGCGGGGACACAAGTGGGATGATTTCTCTCCATTCGAGTCACACCAATGGTAGTCGTCAGGTTTGCAAGAACGGCATCCATAGGGACAGCAGTGTGGGTGACCTAGCCCCCTCCATAGAAAGCTCTACAGCACCACACAGGGACTGCGGTGGCGAAAAGGGCAGTGCAAAGGGGGACACTCCTCACCACGCGTGGAATGAAAATTGGCTAGACGAACAGGTGTGTATAGAGCTAGTCATATTTTTTATCATATTGCAATTTTTGAAGATAGACAATGTGAAGAGGAAGTACGACAAAAATTTGAGTGAAGATAGTTGGCCTCACTTTGGAAGTTCCCCAAGATCTTTGTCCAATTTCTCCTCTGGAAGGGGTGGACACAGTGTCGGAAGCAGCAGCGTGAATGCGAGTAGCAGTCCAAGTAACTGTGTGTCCAAGTCAAACTTGTCCGATTTTTTCCATTTCTGTGGGAACAATTACAAGCATTTTTTGAAGACTTACCTTATTGCATTTTTATGCGCAACCGATATAGTCAATAGTAGCACCCTCACGGATACTCCTCTTTATTTTAGAAGCCAACATCTATTTCTGATCGATTTTATAATAGACACGAATGACCACACAAATGTGTACGAGAGGTACCTACAGAAAAACGAGCACAAGATTTTGTACAAAACGAAGGATATCCTAAGCTGGCTGTTAAACAATCTGTGTATGACCGATTGCGGAAGTGACGAACTGGTAAAGGGGACGGCACACAGCGGGCAAAGCATCCCTTCCACCACCACCCCGTGTGGTAGTAACCTAACAGGCGGACCTCACTACGGCATCGAAAATATCAATAACGATATCTATGAGATTAAGAATGTCCAGGGAAAAACTATATACATCACGAGTGACAAAAATATAGTCAACATAAGTAACTGCAAGGAGTGTAACATTTTTATTTTTTCGAAGGTAGAATATTTGAAGATTCACTTGTGTGTCAACTGTTACATCATCTCGTTGGCCATAGAAATGATTTCCACTCTTTTTAACTCCAAGAATTTGGACGTGCACTTAGTCACGAGGAGCCTCAAGATAGAGAATGTCATTGACACGAATGTGTATGTTTACACCGAGACGAATATCATTATTTTTGGAGACACAAGGAACATCCAGCTTGCTCCTTACAACATTTTAAATGCAAACCAGAGTATATGTCTCCGGAAGAGCAGGATTTCTTTTGGCAGCAAAAAGTGTGACCTCTTCGCCTTTCCTCTGAAGTGCAAAACCAGTTTGTTCCACTCGGTGAACGGGTCCCACGCAACGAGCTTGGCCCACTTGGCGAGTTTGTCCGGTGGGGCAAACTTCCCCCTTTCTCTGAAGTCTTCCAGCGGCGCCCTCTGCCGACGCACCGACAAGAGTGGGAAAAGCGCCACGTGTAGCAGTGCATCTGATAGCCGTGTAATGACTAAGAGTGCAGGTGATAGCGGCGTAACTACTAACGGTGGAACTGCTTGCCGTAGGAGTACTGCGAACGATCTAAGATGGACTGAGCAGGAGAACGAAAGCTTGTGTGGTAAGCCATTTGACATGTCCAACCTTTCCAGTTCATTCACCGACTATGTCTACTACTTGCTGAGTCCGTCCAAGTTCTTTCTGACCGAGTTTCCCATCCCGGACTGCCGGTCAGAAGGTGGAAACAGGGCCTCAGGTGTGGGGAACCACGAAGAGGAATGCGTCAACCATTTTAATGATTCCCACTATGACTCTGATGGGAAGGAACCCCCCCCCGGAGAAGGAAAATACGACACGGGCGAGAGTCACAAGTATCAATGCCTCTACCTCCCGGAGGTTTATAAAAATGCCATAGAAAATCAAGACGGTCACATTCTGCAGTTTTTAAGCTTCATGGACAGCATACATCTGTCAGGTGCTCAGATGCAAATGGTGAAAAAGATACTAACGTATAAACTTTATGCCTATCTGAAGACATCCAAGAAGGCCTTGCGAGTGTTCACCGATTTGGTTGCCCAGGGGCAGGGCACTTTGGGCGGTGGCTAAAGGAGAGATGATATGTTCGAAAAGAAGGACGTGGTGTTACTGGAGGGGACCAAGGCGATCCTCATACCCGTGTGAAATGGCTAATATTCGTTTATGACCCTCTTGCTCGGTTACGGTGTTAGCGGGAAAAGACGACTCACTACGCATTGCGCACATGACGGGAAGCCAGCGCGAGTTTTCCCCTTCCCGACAGGGCTGCGATCCCCACTACGATTTCGGTTGTGGTTACAGTTGCAACTGTCATTGTGTGTGTGTATTATTTCTTTTCTTTCTTTGTGGCGCTCGCAGCACAGTAGCTTCCACTGTTGAATCTGCTAATTTACGGATGTTACTTCTGTCCTTTTTCATTTGGGACATGTTGAAGGGTTAAGAAATGATATGCTCTCCTTTTTCGGTCTGTCCTTGAGACGGTGTGATGGAGGAACAGCTGGGGTGTTCGCTGGCACCACAGTGGACTCGACGCCACGGCAATGCGACACGTGTTCCAATTTGAGAAAATCCCCAAGTTGCTAACTGCGCATGATGCTGCTCAACTCTTGGGAAAAGTTAATCACATTATCGTATACGTGTGTTGAGATCTTTTTTTTTTTTCCATCGGTGGCCCTGACCAAGCAGACGTATTTCTTGTTGCTCTTGTTATCACCTTTGTTTGTCCTTTTGTTTTTCTTGTCGGAGTTTTTCTTCTGGGGGATGACGTTCTTCACGGTGCTTCGTTTGACTGAGTTGCAGGTGGTTCACGCGGTGAGCCAAGAAGGGAAAGGGCAATGTCCGTCATGTGAGTTATCCATTATGTATTATTCGCAGTGCATATTCCCTGTGCATCATTTGCTATGTATGTTTTCTTTTACACCAATACATGTGTGTGAGGTTCGTAGGCACGTGTTACGTACACATTTTTGGCACCGCTTGCCGAAGGGGACTCTCCTCATGTGGGAGGCATACAATTACAGCAAATGGTGAAGAAGCAACTCTCAACCCTGTTGTCTGTACTTACCTTTTTTCATGGTAATCCAAATCGACGTTTTTCTCTTCTCGTCTATTTCTCCGCATAGTTTGTTCAGCTCTTCAATGAAGGCAGTGTTGCTTAGCAGGACCATTTTCGCTTTAATTCTCACTACGCGTTTGTTACGTTTCAAGGCATTTATATCTTTGTCGGTCGACTCGTAAAGCGAAGTTGCGCAAAAAAAAAAAAAGGAAAATTAAAAAAAAAAATTGTTTATTCCTTAATTCGTAGCTCTATATCTGTTTGAGAAAAATCAATGAGTAGGACCAATGCGTTTTTATATCCCCATGTAGCAAAGTTGGAAAAAAAAATTGAAGGAAATTTTACGCGTTTGAGGTATTTTTGTACAGAGGGGTAGGGCGACTGCTTAAATCAGGTCGAAATTACCGTGTGTTGGGTTAACCGCCTTACAAATAGGGGAATTCTTCCGCAAAAGTAAAAAAAAAAAAAAAAAAATATTTTACCGATGTCATTTTAGCGGTTTTTCCCACTTCTTCCCCCATTTCAGCTATCAAAATAAAAAGCATCACTCTGCTGCATATTCTCTGAGTGTTTTAAAAAGAAAAAAAAAATGGCTTACCATTGGTGATAGGCGCTCGACGGATGTGACAACAATGGGCACTCACGAAATGAATGTGTCCGGAGAGTGGAAAAGAAGGAGGACATAAAATGGTACACTGGGGTTGGAAGTATCCTCGCAGATGATGCCTATGTGCTAGTTTCAACGTTGTTTCTTCCGCGTAAGGACTTCTACTCTTACTGCTCCCTGTCCTTGTGCTTAACCAGCATGCAGAAGCAACAGTCTTCTATAATTACATAACACCTGGCATTGATGCGTCTGTGCATCCGAATGAGCGTTTCAATCGGTGAGGGAATATGCGAATGTACTTATGTCTGCATGCCTCCTCTTCGATTCACATGCCGAGAGGCAAATCTTTTGTTCGTGTGGGTACATATTCAATTTTATGAATAACAAAACCATGGGCTCCCCGCGAATGCTTAAGGAACCGTCTCGGCAGGGGATCAGTAACGTTGAGTTTATGGGTGACAACAGAGTTGAAGAACTTATTAGTAAGATAAGTGTAAATTATGAGGAGTGTACAAAGTATGATGCGTATATGGAGCAGGATGATGCGGATGAGGAGGAGGATGAGGCTCAGGAGAAGGAAAATACTGGAGTGGGGGAACTTCTCCTAAATGTAAAGGCGAGCAGAAGAACAGAAATGGCAAGTAGCGAAAAGTTGGGAAAAGACGAAAATGCTAATTCGAACAGGAGCGCGAATGGAGAAGCTCATAAGGGGTGCAATAACGCTGTCATGGACAACCTTAGAGATTTTATTTTTAAAAAAAAAATGATTCACGATAGGAGGAGTGGGAAGGAGGCAAGTTTTGGGAAGCCTGGCAAGAATGTCTTCACCAATTTGAACGTAAGGGGGAGTGGCGGAAGACAGGCAGCAACATGACCGCTAAAGCTATCATCGTGGTGGCACTCAGCGGTGCACATAAGATTGCCTTTCAAGTGGGCGGAACGGCATTGACACATGTCGTGAGTGTGTCTTTGTGGCACGTTAGGTGCTGGGAGTCGTCTGTGGGGAAAAAAACTGACCACGTGGATTGGCATCCGCAGCGGCAGCCCCTCTAACATGGGTCCACTTGCCTCTCCCGACGTGACTGCCTGCTATGCTTCAAAAAAAAAAAAGTTACAAAAAGATAAGCGGTCCCTTCATATAGTACCCTATTCCGCCACTTTTCCCCCCCCCTTTTTCAGGTTAGAAAGAAACGAATAATGGAAAGCAGCGATGAGTCAGACGAGAATTCCCACTCCGTCAAAAAAATTATTGACTACGTTAAGAAGAAGAAAAAGCAGGGGAAGGGATAACCTGGGAGAGGTGAGCCACTTTGAGGTGGTTTTCCCCTCTGTTGCACTGTGCAGTAAAGGGGCGTCGCACAGACAGCACGAGTATGCACATGGCGTACAGCATTTTCCACAAGCGCGTATATGGCGCATAAAATATGTCACTGCACCCTCTCTGTAACACATTTTTTTTCTGTTTTTTTGTAAGATATCTGCACACAAGTTGGCGGTTCTATGTTGTGCTTGTCTTTTTAAATTGAAAAGAGGCCTTTTTTTTTTTCAAAATGGGGCACCAGCGGGGTGGACCTCTTCTGTACCAACGTTAAAGCGACCCAAATGGGTTAAAACGGAACAAAAAAAAACGACACGAATGAGTGCTTCCCCACCTGTGGTCTCCCTAGCTGAGGTGGCTACAGTGAGAAACGTCACGAAAAAAGGCACGCCATCGAGAGTACGTGCATCGTAGTTGCACAAACGTATCTGCTTGGAATTAATTGGCGGTGTTTATCCGCACACATGACTAGTAAAAGTTGAGCTTCTGCGAGCACTCGGCATCCTTCATGAGCGCGGTGATGATGAGCTGCGTTTCGACGTTGAGCTCCAAGCCCATGTCGCCAGACTCCTTGTCGATTTCTGCGCTGATCTGCGTCCTGGTGGACTTGCTCGCTTCTGGGGCGTTCTTCTTCGACGATTCGTTGAAGCCAAGGAGAGTCTCTTTGTTTTTATTTTTCGCCAAACTTTCGAGTGGTATATAAGGACGAATGAGTAGTATACCCATTTTTACCAACTTGTCCAGCATAATTTTGAATAACTCGGAATTGCTGCACATCCCTATGTACTTCCCACTTGTCTCCACAAGAACTCTGTATCTGTTTAGGACCTTCTTATACGGAATGATAAAATCATTAAGCATTCGTAACTCCACGATGACACACGTGAGAAACATTTTGAACGGCCACGGCAGATAATTAATTGCATTGGTTAGTGGTGAATCAAACAGCTGGTTGGTTGCTTCCGTGATGTCTCTGGGTACAATCTTGTGGCCTCTCTTATTTTCGAATGCCTTCCTGCATATCTGTAAAGCCTTTCGGATATCCCCAGACACGTTGGCCACTTTCCTGGCACATAGCTGTATAGCTGTGTGGTCAATAATTTCTTTACAGTTTTCTAAGCGTTCCTTTATAATTTTTTCTATTTCATCTCCCTTGTATGGACTGAACACTAATCGGCCAAATGCCAAGCGAGATCTACATCTGGGTATTAAGCGCTCAGGTAGATCCATGGTGTTGGAAATGGCTATTAATACCAGTTTGCTGTTTACCTTGGTTGGCCAGTCGAAGAGAGTAAAGAGGACCTTCTGCGTTTTGGTGATGAGATAGTCGATCTCGTCGATTATCAGTATGGAGACATTGCGGCTGTCTTTTTTATTTTGGTTAAAGAGCCTGTCAAGCATTTTAAAAGCGTTTAAGGCATTGGGTGGCTTCTTATTGAAGAGTTGCTTGTAGAGCACTTGGTAGGCTGCATTGGGGTGTACTACATTCATTCCGTTAATTTCGAAGACGTTAAAATCGGGTAACAACTTCTGCTTTGTTTTGTGTTGAAGCAGTTGGATCACACTGTATACTGTGGCTGTTTTTCCGGTTCCTGGCATTCCACTAATGTATAGGATTTGATTACTGCCTGATTGTTTAATGCCTGACTCGAGGAATCCGTGGACTTCTTTGATTTCCTTTTCCCTGCAGGGGAGATATTTGGGGACGACATCCAGCTGCATCATTCGGATGGCCTTATCTGTGGGGTCTGTTATATTCCCTAGTAGATTTACGTAATAATTTTCTTGGCCCTGTTTTATGAAATTTTTTATGTCTACGTTGGGGTTCTTTTGTCCACTGTGCTTGGGTGTGTTTTCCCTGTTTGGGGTCACCTTGGCTTTACTGCCTGCGGTTTTTCTAGTGTTAATGCTAGTACTACTTCTAGGATTGATTTTGGAGTTGCCGCTTTGGCTTCTCGCTCCGCTTGGTTCGTTCACCTTCAGCTTGTCTATAATGATTTTAAGCGACTTATTTTTGCTACTCTTCTTATTGTTGGAGAAGGAGTAGTACAGGTCGCTAGAACCTAGGATCAGATTATCCCAGTGTTCACTATTCTGTATGTCGCATATTCTTTCTTCTCTATCTTTTAGGTAGTGAGTGCAAAGGAACTTGTCTTGTCCCTCCTTGGACGTTTTGTCCTCTTGGTAGAGGCTCTTCTCATTGTACACGTTGATTTTTTTTAGAATCATTTTGGCATCTAATATTTTAAACTCTATATTTCCTAGTAGGTAAAAATCTCTCGTCTTTTCGTCCAGGAACACTTCAAAGTCTGCCTTGGACCGTCTGGATTTCTGTTTTTCGCACAGCTCCTTTATGTATGTAGTATCGTGCTGGTCAAAGTATAAGCACACTTCTGCCTCCACCTGGTTCCTCGCTTTGTTTTGGTAGAAGCTGGATATTTTGCCTTTCCTCAGTTGGTAGTCATTGCTTAATTGGTAGCTCTTCCTCTGTTTGTCCCTGCTTTTGCGGTGGGTTCTGCTGCCGCTTTTCCCCGTGTTGCCTTCACCACTACCGATACACAAAAGCATCACGTCATCTCCAATGCTGTACTGCACCTGGTTAATGAATAAACTCTCATAAATCACGCCGTCTTCATATTGGCAGGAGTTGTCCTCAACGAGTCTGATGGATGCCTCCTTCGTAAGCTTTGCAACTTTTTCTGTTGTAAATTCTTTGTGTTGTTCCCTAGGCTCGCTGGGGCCTCTCCGTTTTTGCTCGGTCATGGGGAGCATGCTGCTTCGCTTGTTAATGGTTGCGGCGTGTCTAAGTGGCCGGTTATTTTTCTGTGTCTGCGTCTGCTTCTGGGCCGAGGAGCTGCGCCTTGTGTTGGGTCTCCTGCCTCCGAGGCCGCTACTGTCACTATCGTCGTCGTCATCACTTGCATTGCTTCCACTTTTTTCGTTGCTTCCGTTACTTCCGTTCTTTCTGTTGTCGCCGTTGCCATCCCTCCGGGCCACTCCCGTTTTCGCCCTCTTCACCAGGTTGCGATACACATAGGAATCCTTCGAGAGGCACTCGCTTTTTCTCTTGAGGAGAACACTGGAGCGCGTACCGCTTATCACTTTCTTTTCATCCTTCTGATCTGCTTTGTTCCTCGCCGACTTCTCTTTCATTGCGCTCCTGAGGGTTCGCACATCGCCATAGGAGTTATTCACCTTGTCTTTTTCTGAGATCCTTTTGTTTGCTTTCCCTTCCTCGACATCCTTTTTCTTGTATGTATCTTTTTCTGTGGCGGATTTACTTGTGCTGTGGTTTCTGGGTGATCTCCTCATGTTGTCATAATTTTGTATGTGTATAAGTCTGGTTTGTTTGCTGAGGCTTTTACTTAGTTCCGCCTTCCGGGGTGAAGTGTCTGAGGAGGGGAAGACATGCGACCCCTGGGGCTCGTGGGGGCCACGTGGACCATGCGCGGAGGAACCGCTATCCGATACACACGAATGAGATGAAGCGGGGGAGGAAAAAAAGGACGAAGACGAAGAGTCGAAGCTGTGCTTCTCTTTCTGATTCTTCGTTTTTCCAGTTGTGGTGACCCTGTTTAGAGTTTTCTTAGGTTTGTGACTTCTTTGATTTAATTGAGTGCAAAAGTCTTGAGTGTTATTTTGAATTTGCTCATAATCAGGGATGCGGTTTTGTTTTTTTCTCTGTTCCTCTTTCCTCGGTGTGCCCGGAAAACTTAGCATGCTCAGTTTGTTCACATCTAACTTTATGCCTCCTTTCGTAGGGCTCAAAATTTCGTTATCGTTCAATTGAAAATTGTGAACCCCGCGGAAATGGTGGCTTTCGCGATTTTCCCGAGCTTGACTAATTTTCTGTGTTTCGTAAATTTTGTGGTTTTTTTTTTTTGGAGTCATTTTCTCTAAAAAGAGGATACGCACAATTGTGTGTTAAAACTTTGAGGTTTTTTTTTTTTTTTTTCTTAAAAGATACAAAAACGATGCATTATGTTGCTAAAGCTTTGGGAGGAAAAAATGGAGAATTGTCACTTCTTTTTTTTTTTTTACATTTTTTCCTCCCCTATCAAGAGATTTACCACCTGCCTTTTGCGGTGTGCAGTTTCCACTTTGGCACACCTTCGTCACTTCTGTCGCCAAAAGAATTTCACCTTTCTGTGTTTGATGTAGATTTGTGGAGAATTAACACCGAAATGGAGGTAACCCCAAGTGTGTAAGCTCTCAAAATGGGTTATCTACATTTATTTTTGCATTTTAAAAGGAGCGCAGAAAAAAGAGAGAAAAAAAAAAAAAACACTTCAGGATGGTAACTACTTTTCGATATACTAATTAAGCTGTGGACGCGAAGAATATTCTCAGGGGGGGCTTACACACCTCTCTCGCAAAGGTTGACACATTATTTTTTTCTGCGGGTCATTTGTAGGAACGGATTTCACAATTTTGTGCGACCTTTTCTCGGCTTTGCGCAAGACCGTATCACACGCAAGCAGTTATGTAGTTACGACGTGTGTAGTTAGCCCATATGTAGTCAGCAGTTATGTAGGTATTCCGCCTCGAAGCTTCACCCTTTTGCTTTTTTTTTCGCGAGAAGATGCCAAGTGGCACTGTCGTAGACAGGCGTGGCAAACCTTCTGGGAGAACCCCTTACCATTTGGATGTGTGTGGAGTGGGTATAACGAGGGGTGGAAAAAAAAATGTCTAAGGAGAAAATACGCAAAGTTGCGTAATAAATGCGTAAAAATTTTGTAGAAATCGGGCAAAAAGGACCTCACGCAACAAGCAAAAATGCGGGCATATCACCCTACGTGTGCGGAATTGCGCTGTCTTATACTTCCTTATTTGCCGCCTCTCTGTTGTGCGGCATTGTGTCTCTTCTTCGCAAGGACACGACAGTGCCCCAACAAGTAAGGGCAAATATGTGAGCAGTTTGCCATGACATTGTTTACGCAGCACTTTGCCGATAAGTCTCTCTTTTTTTGAGGGGGGGGCTCTGTTTTTTCTCCCCTCTTGTGAATTAAAAAAGGGGCAAGAGCCGTTTTCGCCCTCTGTTAACTTAGATTGCAGCTGTGGCTGGTATTCGAATTTGTCTCTTTTTGCGCTAGTTCTGTGCCGTATCGACGGGTGTTCGCCAACAGGAAACACACCATTGGCAGCATGCGAGCTCTTCACTTTTTTCGTGAACATTATATATGTGATGACATGAGGAGTTCCATTTTTGTAGTAACTAGCCCGTATTTATTTATGTGCCCTTTAGCGGGAATGACGAAAGTGTGGACTTATTACTTTTTTTTTTCACAACAAAGTTAGTGTTAATAATTTTTGCTAATCAATTTCGCGCAGAGAAAAGTCAGCAGCTCTCTTCTCATCACAGAAGAAGAAAAAAAACAAGTGATGGTGATGTGTTCAAAAATGTGTGGGAACAGCGCCCCATTCAAGTTGGTTACCCCTTGCTGTTTTCCCCATCAGGAGTTATCATAAAGATTTTCTGCGTTCTTTTCTTTTTTTTTTTCTTAATCTCTCCATTTTATATGTAAAAGAAGGGAATTCTTATTTTCACATTGATTTATCATTACGCGTTGTGTGAATGGCACGATGGTAAGAGGAAACCCTGACCCCTCACCCCAAATCTGTGCTAATTCTACACTTCTGTTCCGTGGCCTTTTAATACAACGATCCTAATAGTATTATTTCACACGACGTGACTACCCCACGATGGTTACTTTGCTTTCTCTCCCACGCTGTATGTTGCACTAATAGAAAGAAGGCCAGATCGATGCAAAAGTTTAATTCCATGGTGAATGTCTCGAAACAGAGTGACAGAATTAATGCTCTCACGTGAATATCCGGATGCATAAAAATGCATTACCAATGCTACACCCTATTTATACGAATGGCACAAAAGAAAGAGAGTACTCTTTTCCAAGTGGACATTCACGGAGAGGGAACGAAACTATACTCTATTTGTAATTTTATTATACCCCCCCCCGCACGTACCGAATTGCATCTTAAGCGCATGAGAATTAGTCCGTTCGAGAGTACACAATATGCGAACGTTGCCACATGTTAACATTCAATCGGGATATGAAAACGTGGGGGCTATTTATCAGAAATTTCCTCCACTAAGGGTACAGAAAAAAGTGAGTAACCCTGTTCCTTCTATGGCTGGGGTGAACTGTTGGCCACAAGTAAATGAACTTATGTGGGAATTTTCCCAAACGACGTGTTTGCCACTACAGCATTTCGCTGCACAAACAAGAGAAGTGAAAGTAGTTGAGGGGGAACTTTTACATTATTGTGTCATCCCTCTCCACGAAAAGAAAAAAAGGAAAAAGTAATAACCCCCTTGGTGCATCTTTTCAGAAGACACCTTATATCAGTCAAAAGTGCCCCTTGGAAAATTCATTCGAGGTGAAATGGCACAAATGGGTGGGACCAGAGGGCGGGGAAAATAACCCTATGCGAAAAATATGCGCATTTTCCTCGCGGAGAAATGAACTCACTTGTGGTATGCTAAGATATGTGGAACCTTTCCCATAAGGGGGAAGCAGTAAAAATAGCAAGGGAAAACCACATATATATATGCGCACGTGGTAGGTATAATGATGCATATTTGTAGTTAAGCTGCCCTAGCAGAAATGGCATACCCCCTACTCTTATATTCTCTAAGCCGATTAAACTTGTTTAGGCAAAGTTGTTAATTCTGGGATGGGAGATTAAACTGGGCGAAATGCCCTGAGGAATTTTTCTTCATCTTTTTTGTTTCAAGAAGGCAGCCAAAATCGTACACATCTGTCGGTTGACTCATTTGTTGGTTGGCCCATTAGCCGGTTTGGCCCTCCCCCGATTTACGTTTACGTACGTGCAAATGCGCGGAAATGGACCCTCTCACACTTTCAAGAATGCTTACAAATGGCTTTTTCCCTGAGGTCACGTGCATCGACGATGAGCGCAAATGATCAAGCAAGGATCGGAAATTAAAACAAGAAGGAAACACAGAAAAAAAATGTACGCGCGCACAAATACGTAGTGCGCGATGCGTTAAAAAGCGGGAAAAAAGTACACTTATATAAAGAAGCAAAATTATACAAAAAAATAAAAAAAAGGAAAAAAAAGCATTCCACGCGGTGTTAATGTTAGTAAATAATAAGTAATGACTGCAACTACGAAGAAGAGGATGAAATAAAAATAATCTCTCGTAAGCGACGATTTGTTATTTACTTAATTTGTTTTACAAGTTAAAATCGTTCACATATACATGGTTCACGGGGAGTATTATTATTGATTGAGTGTACCGCAAAGGATACATTTTTATATATATTATATATATGCACGAGGGCCATGAAAAAAAAAGGGGGAAACGGGCATGACACATGAGGAAATGTTTAATTATATATGCAAAAAATGGAATACGTATATAAATATATTATAATACCACATTTAAGGATGCCATGCAGGGACCCGTGTAAGTGGAATGAGGCACAAAGCGCACCAGCGGTACGAATAAAATACTGTGGCGTAGGATAAAATATATTTAAAAAAAAATACGAATGACACATATGGCATGTATTCGCCACATATATATAAAGGGGCAATAAAGCACATAATAAGTACAAATATTTATTTGTATATCGTACATGTAAAATTACGCGCCGTAATGTACCAATTTTAATCGCTATTGCCGCTTATGCTGGCTTATATATAGCGTACCTGTACTGTACGTACCGCCCGCGCGCAGTTTGGCCCCTTTCTTGCATATATTGAACGCAAAATTGAAACGCGCAAAAATATATGAGCTATGTTATCGTCGGCTCTTAACCCAGAAGCTGCGGCGCTTCGTTCCGCGCACCATATATATATTGCTATTACTATATACATATTGCATACATTGCCATGCATTACTCATATTATGTAGGTTTTAAACGTACCGCATGTAATATAAGCATATAAAATACCCTCCTCCCAATCGTGCTTCGTCTGATCGCTTCATGTCAATACCTCTCCTTCATCGCGTATTTTGAAATGAATAGCAAGGAATCACTTGACCTCGTAACTATACGTGACGTAACGCGACGTAGTGAATGTACATTTGTTATACTATATATACCAGTAAGCGTCGCAAAAAAAAAAAAAAAGCATATATGGTATAATCCATACGTACCGTAGGCATATAATGAGCATTATTTACCCATTCTTCCTTGTACGCTCAGTAATATATATCGTAGCGCGCTCGTCACGCTCTTGCGCATATTTGTATCTATGTATTATATTTATATATTCTGTTTGCAAACGCAAAGGTTAATTTATTTATATATATATTTTTTTTTTCCCATCGTCATCATTTCTTCTTCTTAAGATATAAAGTAATGCACGTCATGCCCGTATTCACCATTTCTGCGATTATGCAAAGATTCTCATAAAGAATTTCCTTTTCATGGTTCATACAAGGATGCAGCGCAATACGCATACGCAATAGCAATACATACAAGTATGTATAAATGCATATGCATAAATATATAGTAATATTATTACTAATATTATACAGTAACGTATATCAATATATATGTATAATTACATACGGAATATCATATTCGTAAAAATATAATCAAAAACGTGAATTGAAAAAATAAATATATTTAAAATTATTTAACGAGTACGAAAGGATATTTTACTTTTCAATTGAAAGAATTATTTGCTCGCTTTTTTTTCTTTCTTTCTTTTTTTTTTTTTTTTCATTTTTCCTTTCATTATGTACTTTCTTACAAAACAATTTTAAGAGACCTTCATATCGCCAGTTAATACGAACGCTTATGCGCCATTTTCTTCCCAAGTACAAACGTATATGTGAATGAATTGCCCTCCCACTTGAGTGCCGACGCGTATGCTACGTACATATGTACACATGAACATATGTACGTATGTACATATATATGTTAATATACCCATCTTTACGCAAGTACATGTCCCCACCAAAGGAGTAAAACCCCTTCAGGCGTCCCTACTTTAGCAAAACACGCGTAAGGAAGCATTTTGTTTCGTTTTTTTAAATTTACATCACATACTTTAGTGGCGCACGTTAGCCGTACACATTGGCCATTCTTCCATTCACAGTTTTCTTGGACGACAAAACGTGTTCACATACACACAAAACGTGAATGCTTTTTTCCCTTCCCCCTCCCCTTTCACAGTGTACATTTTGGTACCCGTGTATACACCACGAGTATGTGCGAATTTATCAAAATTGCAAAGTTAGGCGAATTCCCAACATACACACACACACTCTGACATTAGTGGCCTCTAACAGAGTGAAGAGTTTACTCCGAGTATGCACATATATACGTACATCTCTTTTTTAGCAAAAAAGTGTACGTATAATATCTGCGTCTCTCTCGCTTTAAAGAGTACCCATCGTAAGGTGTGTGCATCTTACGTAACTGTACTCCCACAGAAAATTCTCCAGTTCGCGGCCCTCAACCATTTGAAGCTTTAAGGTGGCCATCGCACAAGCGTACGCAAGTGCAGAAATATACACAGGCGTATACGTACAAAAATACAAACAGTCGCGTACGCCGTAAGCACCCCACTCAAAACCATGGATCCCATGAAAAAATTTAACGGAATGAAAAACATGGGAGGTAAGGAAGTGCGCAAACGAAGAAAGAACAAGAAGGATCCACATGCACCAAAGAGATCGCTCTCCGCGTACATGTTTTTCGCGAAGGAGAAAAGAGCTGAGATCATAAGTCGAGATCCTGATTTAAGCAAAGACGTCGCAACTGTTGGCAAAATGATTGGAGAGGCATGGAATAAATTAGACGAGCGAGAAAAGGCTCCCTACGAAAAAAAAGCACAGGAGGATAAAGTCAGATACGAACGGGAAAAGGTGGAGTACGCCAAAACGAAAATGAAGGCATAGGCCATCAGAAATTCTGCAGACGGACAGAGCATGGGGGAAACGGTGCGTTTACATGAACAGATATGTATATCTGCACGTTCATATGCACGCACATATGTGCACGTACGCGCTCAACTGTGAAGATGGAACGCGAATCATGCGGATGTTGGCCTTCTCATTTTTGTGAGGGCCATTTAAAGTGTGAACTTTCAAGTGCCTAAAAAAAAATGGCACAAATGAGTATAAGTAAAATGTGCAAACACGAGTATGCTGCTGCATGAACGTTTGAGAAGAAACACAACATGGCGCTCAGTCAAATCATATCATACAAAAAAAAAAAAAAAAAAAAAAAAAAAAAAAAAAACATGGAATTTATACAACAGATTATATATATCTACTGACAGGTACCGAGTTTTATTAATATTAATGCGCATTTTTAGCAGTTTATAGTTGATAGAGAATTACCAGCACGTGAACAAAAAATTTAGAAAAAGTTTAAACATAGATCGATACATCAGTGTACGAAAAAAAAACAAAAGAAAAAAAAGAAAAAAAAAACTAGGTATTTTTTTTTCTTAAAATAAAATATGAAAAATTGAAATACAATTTCTTATTATTTTAATATTCTTCTCTCTTTTTTTTTTTTTTTTTAAAGTTATATAAAAGCGTAACGTTTTAAATTTTTCAAAAGTTTTCACTTTTTTTTTTTATCCATGGTACATGTACGTGAATAAACAGATAAATAAGTAGTAAATAAGGTGAATAAGTAAACATCAATTTACATGTTTACTTATTTAGCTATCTCCATTCCATGTGTATCACATTGCAGTTTCTTTTTCCTCTACTTTTTCTTTTTTTCTCTGTTTTTTTTTTATTTTAAAAACATTATAATGATCATACATATGTACATCTTTTAGTACACACATGAAACTTATTAAATTAAGCACTGCGTTAAAAAAAAAAAAATCTTTTTTTTGCACCCCAACGGTTTCTCTATATGTTAGTTTTAATGTCGTTTAAGTTTACAGACCCTTTTGAATTCTCTGTGTTCAGTGCTCTAAGGAGGACAGGGTAACAGTGTCACCCAAAAAGGCGGAGCGCTGTTTTTTTTATATCTACATGGTATCCTTATGTGGTATGGGAACGCTTTATAATATGTGCCTACCAAAAAGGAACGGGACCGTATCACGGATTGCGAGGGTCTGCAATAAAGATAAGATGACTCAGCAGTGTGATAGCCACGGGGGAAGATGAATAAACAATGGCGAGAAGAGCTTCAAATCGGGATTTTTTCATTCACGTGTTCGATGTAGTCTGCGACAAGGGTGAAAACCTACGCAATGCGGAACAATTGCGTCAGGAGTACAACTTCTTTTTACGCATGAAGAGGTTTACATGATTGTATTTGACGATATTGTACCGTGTGAACCCGAGGCAGAGGGTCGAGTCGGTCCGAGGAGCGCTGCCTAACGAGCGGCGTCCTCGCTGAGTCGTACAACGTTGAGCAAAACTCCGCAACGCACAAGTGTCCTCGTGCATGTATATGCACATAGGCACGACGCTTCTAAGGTTTTATTCTTTTATAAAAAAAGAGAAACCTATTTTTACGCCTTCTTTAACCCTTCATGCTAAATTTGCACAAGGTGCGAAAGGGCGATTTGAACATACTACGAAATTGTGACCCGCATTAGTGTAGAGCAATGAATTAAAAAAAATAAACATGGAAACACAACATAAGAATGCATAAGGCGTAAAGCGTAACAGATAAGCAGGAACAAACATAAAGAAGGAAAGGGCCAAGGGAGAAAAAAAAATATATATACAGTACCATTGATACACCTAGGCTGGAAAAATAAGACTCGACCATTTAGGGAAACTTTAAAAACGTGCGGGAATTTTATAACTCGAAGGTCATTCCATCTAGCCGTACAAATTATCCACTTTGGAAAATGACAAATGATTTACGAAAAAAGAGATTGAGTTGGGGGAAGAGACGGCAAGGAAGGGCAGCCTCAAAGGGATTGGCACAAAACAAGGTAGAAAAATGAACAGAAACAAGCGAGGGATGGGGTGCAATCGATGCGCCTAATTTTGCAGAGAAAGGAATATGTTAATTTCGAGGGCCCTTCTTCTATCAGATCCAGTGGCCTGCAGGGGGGGCATACCCACACGTGTTTGTAGATGCATACACACGTATGTAGGTACACACATACATATATAGGTAACAGGCATATATCAACATGCGCCCTCTTAAACGACTGCACCACATGGCTCGGCCCATTACTTTCAAGTTCTTGTATCGTATGCTGTGGTTGATTTTCTTAGCCTCCTTCTTCAACAGCTCCAACAGAGTGAACGCCTTGGCAATTCCATGTTGTCTCCCTACGATTTTGACATTTCCCTTTAGGAGAAAAATGTGAGCGGTATGTGGTAATGGAAGGGGGGGGAGATGTCAATAGGAGGGATCCACACCACAGGGGGAGCGGTTTAGCATACGTCGCCGCTGATCAGCGGAACGTTGCATAGGGGCATATAGCAGAAATGGAGGAAAATTTTCTTATCAAATGGGCGTTTACTATTTTCATCCTCTCAAGGCATTCTGCAATATATTTTTGTACGTTATCCGACTCAGTTTTGACAACTATTTCGTAACAGTTCGGTTCCTTCATTTATTCCTTTCTCTTTAGTGGCCTCTCCCCTTGGGTTTGGGTTCGAAAGGAGTGTTCGCTATGCTTGGCGAGCAGAAATGTACATATAAGAACATACATATATATACATATACGTATAAACTGTACATAGGCGTTTTTTTTTTCTCATGGTAAGCTACAACTGTGAGAAAGTCTTCTGCTGTTTTGGATAATTTAACACTTCCGCTGACGAAAAAAAAAAAAAAACTTTCAAATGGCTCATAAGAGAAATGATAAAAAATGGCGTTTCCAAATTGCCAGGATTTTTTCCCCCTTCGCTAAGAATTGGGTTCCTCCAAAAGGCAAAACGACTTCGAGGATATTTGATGCGCATCTGTGACGCCGCACTGTGCGTAATAGCATGATATAAATCTTGTACATTAATTATGTTGCAGTTCGCTGTACGCTGGTATCTCTTTACTGTTGGGGTATGTCCCTCTCATGCAATATGCGTCGGCATATGCTTATCTTATACACGTACGCGGGAAAGTGAAAAGTGAAAAGCAGGAAAATGATTCCCACCGGATTGTTGGCAAGAAATAGCTCAGATGACGAAAGCAACACCTCCCAAGCCTCTATTTACAATTTTGGGCAGTTTTTATTTTTACGCTTCTGACGATCCCATGCGCGGAAGCACATATTTTTTTTCTTTTTTCTGTGCCGAACGAATTGAGCGTGAATAAAGCGAAGCAGCAGATATGTTTCATTTTTAAGGTGAAAAAAAGAAGGTAGCCGTTTTTGATGAAAAATTGAGTACATAAAAAGGATGTACCGAAACAAATGCGCATTGAGATGGGCGTGTCTTAGGAAGTGGAAACAAAATAAAAATTAAAAAATAAAGAATAAAAAAACAAACAGACAAACAAAAAATTTAACTTTGAAACAGGGATGATAGAAGGACTTCCACGAGTTCGGGGTTGTCCATATAATCGTAGGTGGTTTCGATTCTGCTATCGCGCGGTTCCGGGAGCTATAGTTAAAAAGAAAAAAAGGGGAAAAGCGGCATTTAAAAAAAATGAAACAAAAATTAACAAATGGTATTGTAGAGAAACGCGCGGAGATTTCCCCCACATATTTTATCCACACAGCAACGTGTATTCAACATGAGAGGCCACCGCTTTAATCACGTGAAGCGCATCACAGGGGCATGCCTGGTCATCCGCGTATTTATTTCCGAACCATGAAATTCACTAATTTAGGAATGGGGTCAAAAGAGCTGATTTTTCCCTTGTTCACATGCTTGCCTTCATCTGAAGGGAAAAAAAAGGACAGGCATCAAATTGTGTAATATTATGGATTACACTGAATATATAAAATGGGGAGGAAAAAAGAAATTGCGCAAATTCACACAAGGCAACAATTGAATCTCCTCTTTTCTTTTTACATTTTTTTTTTATTTTGTAAATTTCCCGTTGCGATTTCAGCAATTCGCTGTCTTCCCTGCGTGAAAAAAAAGGGGTTATATAAGTAAGCATGTGTGTCTATACGTTTCCGCTTCTGCGTTGGTATGCCGCGAAAAACAGAGCGTGGGTAAACGCACAACATCCGCTCATGATTACTGATTATCCTTCAAATTCTGGATGGCGTTCAGGAGAAACTTCTTGTAGTAAGGCTAAAGGGAGGAGTGAAGCACACGTATGGTGTAGGGTTTCGCGGAAGGGGGGTGTACAACGTAGGTGCTGCCTGGCAACATAATTGAAAATAAAGAAGCACAGGCGATTCTTATAACAGCTGCGCATCGTCCCCACCTCGTCGTCATAAATGTATTGGTTCAAGCTAAAATTTGACCCATCACCGTAGAGATGCTCATAGAGCCCTTTCCCCACAACGTGATAGTTTATTGTTTGTGGACAGGAACTCTGAATCAGGGCAGGCAGATCAAACATGACTTGACTAATTTGGGAAGATATAGGCTGCTCATACGTTTTTAAACTTTTCACTGAACTTATTTTGGTTATTTTATGCATAATGTCAAAAAAGTTTAGGCACATTTTTTTGGAATATTTAAACCATGTATCAATTAGTGAAAAGAGTTTTTTTTCACTTTCGGTGGTATCTTGCTCATATAGTTTTGTCCTCTTTTCGAAAAAGGGTTTATCTTCTTCATCACAAATTATGTTTACTTCGTTGTATGCGTTTTCATTTACTGGAATGTCTACCTTGATGAAGCTATTTTTTAGCAAATTATGTAACACGGTTAGCAGTTGAGCAATGTCGTTTTTTAATTCTTCTTCATTAAGCTGTACATCCCTTATCGAATCGTTAACGTTGGTGCAATTTTCTGCGCTTTCGACAGCTCCGTTTTTATTTTTTTTTTCCTTATCTGCTAATTTTTCATTATATGCAACGAATGACAAAAGGGGCAGTTTATTCGACAGGCACAAAACCTTCTGCGTTAATATTCTCGTTCTTAGCAAAAATTTATATAAACTAACTTGCTCTTTAACTTGATAGGCTATTTCTTCTATATCACTGTACTCATTATTCAAAAGGTCAGAATTATCATCTGAGGAGTCTACTTCCTGTTCACTTCCATCATAGTGCTTTTTTCCCTTCCTTCCCTTTTTTTTGTAGTTTTTAATTTCCAATTTGTACAGCTCATCTAATTTGTCCTTCTCCTTTTTGTTGTCGTTGTTGCTGCTGTTGTTCTTTTTCTTCCTTTTCAGTAGTGATCCCTTTTTTAGCTTAGCTCCATTGTTCTTCTTCACCTTATTTGAACTTCCTAATTTTTTTCTTTTTTTTGAAGCGCCGTTCTGTTTTAATACCATGCTTTTTGCTTTTTTTTGTTCACTATGACTGGGGGCATATTTTGATATTCATTCTTAAATGGGAAAAAATTGCATACGACTTTGCGAACATTCCAAAGGCGTGTTTTCATTCTTTTCAAGAGTCATATCCCAAGGTGAAGGATTTTCCAATTTTTCTTAACTAGATTAACTGTCATTTAAGAAATTATTTTATTTTTTTTTTTTTTTATTTCTTTTTTTTTTTATTTTATTTTTTATTTCCTGTGGTTCCCCTGTTAGTCACGCGCTAAATGCAGGAACAATTCCGACGCCGTGTGCCACCAATGTTGTGCGTCCTTGAAAAAGTGAACGACGCGTACTGCAACGCTGTTAAAATATTCATTCGAATTTTGCTGATTTGTATCGTACATTTTTTATTTATCTACAATGGCTGATTTTGCTCCTCGTGGCGAAAAAAATGAAATAAATTTTGTTCTGTTTCGCAAGGGGGGGGTGAACTGCAGGAATGGTACATATTATGTGCCTTTATATGCAGGTCAAATGTGAGTCCTTTTGCCCGTTGCTACTTCGGACGCGTAAATTATACATGCCTAAGGCGGCATTGTATTTTTGCAAATCAGCGGCCTTTTCGCAATGACGGACCCTTATATACCCATAAGTTTTCCTAAAAAGGATTGATCCATCATAAAAAAAGAGGCAAAAGAATGGGGAGATAAATGAACGCGGAATTTTACCTCCATGGTGTTACTGCTTTGTAGTATTTCTGCTTGAATGAGACTGTGAGATGCCTTTTACGAGGGAGCGAACGTGGTGACCTTAGATTTATCTCCATTTTATGCTTCTTAAAGATTAATCACCGAAAGGGGAGATTACACCCTTACAAAATAGGTGCCTGCGCATATGTACATTAGCGGTTTTGTTTTAAAAAAGGGCCCTTGTGTAGAACTTTCTTTATGTTCTTCCTTGCACCTGCGCAAGTTTGGTAAATGTGGAGAGTTTTTTTTCCCTACTATGTGATTAACGAGATACAGCAATTTTGTTCCCAATCTGTTTACAGTCTTTCCAGAAGAACGCGCATCTTCGTTATTTCATCGATATACATAAGGTTATTCACTTAAAGTTATCTATCTCTTCAAAATAACCCAACTGACAGAATTTCTTAGCTGCATTTTTCCCTTCGCAGAACGCAAAAATGGCCTTCTTCAGGCTTCAAAAGGTAACCCCAAATTTATCCCCCTGAAACGACGAACGAAATTTCTGTCCACATCAGGTAGCTTTTTTTACATTCAAAAAAAAAAAAAAAAAAAAGTGGGTTAAATATCAAAAAAGTTATGAACCGTTCATGTATTTTATGAACAGCGAAAGATACGCTTAAGGAAAAAGAAAAAATATTTCTTAAGGTAAAAGGGGGTTTTATTATATTCACTAGCTTAAGAAAAAGACGAAAACAGACACACCCTTTCGCAAAGCATAGAAGATAACAAGTTCAATATTTCACACTTAAATGCTTTCATTTGAATCATTTCGAATCGAATACGCACATGCAAAAGAATTGATTGTATTTTTATGTAAAAAAGGGAAAAAATTACATACAAAATTGATATTCCTTCTTCATCCCCTTTTGTGCCACTGTACTCACACAATATGCACAACATATACCATGATTAAATTGTACTTGTAGCTGATGGGAGAGAATAATACCAGCGCTCGCAAAAGTCGTAGTTGGGAAGACACACCTTCGCTTGGCATACATAAGGCCTCTTCCAGAAATCACGATGTGGTGTGGGCGCGCATAACTATCCGAAGTGTATATGACATGGTGGACTGAACTTTTTCCCCCTTATACCCTCTACCCTTTTTACAATTTCCTTCGCATCATTACAGAGGTAAGCGAGAAAGATCAACGGAGAGATCGAATAAATAAATGAGCGAATAAAGTGATAAACACATTAACGCAGAAAAATACTACGCCAAATAGAAAGTGCCGCCATGTTTTGTTGTATGGGCCAAACAGACCTGTTTAGTTACCTGTTTAGTTACCTGTTTAGTTACCTGTTTAGTTACCTGTTTAGTTACCTGTTTAGACGCAACATACATCATCCTTTTTCTTAGGGTTGCTTCTTTTTCATGATGGCTATATTAAGTAGCATTTCGCAGCATTGCTCAGTGGGTATTTGCCTAAATATGTGGCGGCCGTGTCTCAAAATTTCGTAACATTGTGTAAAACTACTGAGCTACAACGATAAGGTGTATTATGACAAATCTTTGCCGCCATAGTTGTGTTAAGATGGGTGCTTACTTTCACGAATAGCCTTTTTTTTCTTGCGCACATTGTACACACCTTGTTTTTCCGTTAATTAGAAGCAAGGCATCCTTTTTATAAGATTTCTCGAATGGAGGTAAATTATTATTTTCTTATTTTCTTTTTTTTCGCAAATACTACAGTTTACTTCGTTTCGTTCTGTCACCTTTTGTGCCTATGTTTGTATGGGGCGGTTTGCATATGAATATTTAAAAGCATGGAAAAATCCCCCGCATGTACATTCGCACGTTTGCGCGTTCCGTGTGGGCAATATATATGTACATATTCACGCGTGTTCTTGTATACATTTCGCTAATTTGTAATTCTTGCGAGTTTAAATTGGAGAGGGGAATTAAGAGAACGGCACAAAGATGATAGTCGTAGATCTTCGGGCTGAAAAGAAAGAATAAACACAGCCAAAAAAAAAAAAAACTGCCATCATAATTGAATGTATTGAAAATGTACACCCAGCGATTAAAGCAGTTTTAGGTGAAATGAAGTGACAAGGCG